AGATCATAGTAAATCTACAGTCGAGTTTCAGATTAGTTTGTCCTACTAAAAACAAAGCTCCGTGTTGTACCTCAAGACAGCTGGATGCCCGGGAGCACAGGTGCATGATGGGAGTCAGCTGATGTGGTTTGGACCAAAGATTCAAAATAATGAGATACTTTATAAAGCTTTGTGTGTTTAATCTGAAACAGTCTTATTTTTATTCTGGCCCAGTGACTGTTGACCGTGTGTTTTCATCATTCATCAAATTTATAGTTTAAAGTGAGAAAAGTAAATGTTTTCTGTCAGATATTTAGATTAAAATTTAGATTTAGATTAATGTATGCACTTTTATACTTGTTCTGATAAAGCTCCAGATTATTCTAAAGATATTCAAGGAAGCTTCATTTCTGTTCAATCTGTCAATCATTCGTACATTAGTTTTTCAAAATAAAAGCAAAACAACTTTTTTCTTCATTATTTGTCTCCAAAAACAAATTGAAAAAACAGATGATGATTCATTTTTTTCAGTTTTCGATTTTGTGTTTAAATGAATAATGGAAAAAACGGATAATGGACTGAACCAGGACTAAACCAGGATTAAACAAGGACTAAACCAGGACTGAACCAGGACTAAACTAGGACTAAACCAGGACTAAACCAGGTCTAAACCAGGCCTGAACCAGGACTGAACCAGGACTAAACTAGGACTAAACCAGGCCTGAACCAAGACTGAACCAGGACTAAACCAGGATTAAACAAGGACTAAACTAGGACTAAACCAGGACTAAACCAGGACTAAACTAGGACTAAACCAGGACTAAACCAGGACTAAACCAGGACTAAACTAGGACTAAACCAGGACTGAACCAGGACTGAACCAGGACTAAACCAGGACTAAACCAGGACTGAACCAGGACTAAACCAGGACTAAAACCAGGACTAAACCAGGACTAAACCAGGACTAAACCAGGACTAAACTAGGACTAAACCAGGACTGAACCAGGACTAAAACCAGGACTAAACCAGGACTGAACCAGGACTAAACCAGGACTAAACTAAACCAGGACTGAACCAGGACTAAACTAGGACTAAACCAGGACTAAACCAGGACTGAACCAGGACTAAACCAGGACTAAACCAGGACTGAACCAGGACTAAACCAGGACTAAACCAGGACTGAACCAGGACTAAACTAGGACTAAACCAGGTCTAAACCAGGACTGAACCAGGACTAAACCAGGACTAAACCAGGACTGAACCAGGACTAAACTAGGACTAAACCAGGACTAAACCAGGTCTAAACCAGGACTGAACCAGGACTAAACTAGGACTAAACCAGTACTGAACCAGGATTAAACCAGTCTCAGTCCTGGTCTGGTCCAGTCTCAGTCCTGGTCTGGTCCTGGTTCAATCCTGGTTCAGTCCTAGTTGAGTTCTGGTTCAGTCCTGGTTCAGTCCTGGTCTGGTCCTGGTTCAGTCCTGGTTCAGTCCAAGTTGAGTTCTGGTTCAGTCCTGGTTCAGTCCTGGTTTACTCCTGGTTTAGACCTGGAATCGTTATCTGTTTTGTCATTTAGATTTTATTTTCAATCAATGAATGACACACGGAAAAAAAGTCACTGATTCTGTCAGTGACTTTTTTCTTATCGATTCCTGCCCAAACGAGTATCTAGTTTCGATTAGGGACGCCCCGATCTGAGACTGGGATCAGATTTTGCCGTTGATTCTGAATAATGTGCTGAATCGGACTTACAAATCGCTGTAATAAGACTGTCCAGTGCGCGGGACGTGTGTTTAGAAGTCTTGCGTGGACCTTTACTCAGCTGATGTGGTCCAGATGTTCTTCAAACCGCACCGACGTCCACCGACATGACTCACGCTTTTCTAGTCGAGAGGAGGACTGGCAGAGTGGTGAGCCCGTCTCCTCGTCTCAGTCAGGAGGTTGTGGGTTAGACTCCCGGTCCTCTTGTCTGTATAAGGCTTTACGCGCTCTGCTCTTGAACGGGGCCTGTCGCTCTGTGTAAATGTTTATTCTGGAGGTTATGGACGAGCGCCGCATGTTTCACTTCAGGAAACTCACGCGGAACAGTCGTTTTAAAGCCCACTGCGGAACATTACCCTTGTAGTAGAGAAGAAGAGATTCTTCTTGGGGAATTACCAGAATGACTGTTTCTCTAATGTTTTCAAGAATATTAAAGGTCCTATATTCACTGTTGGGCAAGTTACTTTGAAACTGTAATGCATTATTTATACCTATTACTGTCATTTCAAAGTAATTCGTTACATTATAATATTACTGCATTTAAAATGTAAAGTATGTAAATGTTTAAAATTGCATTACTATTGCATTACTTCAAGTTACTCTCACCAAAATAACTTTGCACTGTATATGGACTGAACCAGGACTAAACCAGAGCTGAACCGGGACTAAACCAGAAGTGAACCAGGACTAAGCCAGAACTGAACTAGGACTAAAACAGGACTCACTGTAGGGACGGGCTCGAAGGTGACCGCAGGAGAAATTTCAGCAACTATTTGCAGGGACCCGAGCCGGTGCAAGAGTCTGTTACAGCGCGTAACTTCTACCTTCCTTCAGCGTGTCCAGAAGTCCAACTTTTTGTGTGATGGTTGCATCTTCCTCTGCCTTTTGGGTGCGAGTGCAGGAGCCTTTGTCGGTGCAGAACGTTTCGTCGACGTTGTGGGTTTCGTCGGGGAGAAAACTTGCAACTTGCTAGAGATTGAACATGTATTTAAATTTGGCAGCTGAACACATTCTGTACTGTACTGTACAGGAGACAGGAGTCCCTTGGCCAGTCAGGACGCAGCGGGAGGAACACAATACGTGTTCATACAATGTAAAAAAAAACAAACAGGGCATGCAAAATTGCACAAAAAAAAAAAAAAAAATCTGCGAAACAGCGAGACCGCGAAAAGTGAACTGCGATAGAGGGAGAGACGAGTGTAAACCAGATACATGATTTTTAAAACATAAAAGATTGGAGATAAAGTCCACAGGAAGCAGAGTCACTATCACTAATCTGCAGCTTCACCTTGATCTTAATGTGTGGATGTAAACAGACAAACGTGAGGAGCTACGCTCACTTTTTTGCTTTAAAAGAACACTTCAAACTGAATTAATTGTTCAGTTTTGGGGACTTGATGTCATTATTGGCAAAGGACAATTTGTATGGATAATGTGAACGAGACGCCGCACTTAAAATTTATAACTTTACGAGAGGTGAGTTATCGTTATTTTCGGTATTTCCTGAGTTTGTACGTTGCGTCTATGTGTCCGTCACTTGCTCTGTTTTATTGGCTGTTGCCGTAGTGTTGCTGATGTTTGGTGGTTACGATCTGACAGAGCAGCTCAGAGTCACACACACGAGGAGCACAGCAGCTTCAAAATTGCACATGAAGACACAAAGTCAGCTCACTCCTTCCAGAACTCTGGGAGAAGAAATGGCAGCCAAAATCAGGCAAATTCTCCTGTAGTGTGTAGCAACCTTAAGTCTACAGGCCTTAAGTCAAGTTACAGGTCAGATCTGTGGAGAGGGAGTCCACCCATAGTACAGATGTATGCTTTTCAAAGAATTTCTGAGCAATAAAAACACCTGTGATGAATCTATGCAAGAGATAGATGACTTTAATGCAAAGCTATAACATCTTCATGAGACAAATAAGTAACAGACCTTCCACGAGAAAAGTTAGAATGTCGTTACCTTTTCAAAAACAGACCTGGAGTTGTGTTTTGTTTCATTCACACACGTTTGAGTAATCCAAAGCTCAAAAATTCCACCTGGGGATGTCATGAAGCCTTTTTACTTTTGTTCAGTAGGCAAAAAAGCGACAATTCCAGAGCTAGAATTATCCAAATGATTCAAGTGAAGTTGTAGAGAGTTTAAAATAATAGTGGAGCACTTCCTGTATTACCACATGACACCACAAGGTTGAAGGTGTTTCGGTTTATGAGAAGAACTCATCTTAAACTAGTGTTGTCACGATACTACAATTTCAAACACAATTTCGATACTAATACGGAAGCCAGGAGGGCTCATAACACACGCAAACGCCACAACAAATACAAACGCACATGTACAACGCAAATGTAAATGGCACAACACAACAAAAAGAGCCACATTGGACGTGACCGCAAGACTCTTATTTTAATGCAAACGCCACAAGAAATATAAACACCACAACACAACAAAAAGCCACAACAGAAGTGACTGCAGGACTCTTATCTTCCGATGGACCAAGCGACAGGACATCGATCCTGGCCACAAAACAATAAATTACTTTTCCTCATGTTTCCAACTTCATTCACTTCTCCGTTACTTTACTTTCCACATTCTTGTTCTTTTTCAAATTTTCCCATTCACTTCCCGCTTGATTCTTTAACGCTTCGCTTGGTTCGTCAGAAAATAGAGTCCCGCGGTCTCTTCCGCTGTGGCTTTTTGGTTTGTTGTGGCCTTTTGGTTTGCATTTGTGTTGTGACTTTTTGTTGTATTGTGGTATTTGTATTTGTTGCGGTGTTTGCATTAAAATAGAGTCCCGCAGTCACTTCCGTTGTAGCTTTTTTTGGTGTATTGTGGCTTTTTTTGGTTTGTTTTGACTTTTTGTTGTGTTGTGGCGTTTGCATTTGTGTTGTCACGTTTGCGTTTGTTATGGGCCCTCCTGGCTTCCGTACTAAGGAATAGACTCAATACCGATTCCGATACCACAGTGACAATGAAAAACACTCTTTCTTTAGACAATATACAGTAATTTTCAACTTTAAATGGTAGTACTTTTTGTTCTATTCCCATGTGCTCTTATACTTTTTCTGATCCAGCTCAAGATCATCAGGAAAGCTTAATTTCTGTCCTGTCAGTGTGACTTTTGTAGCATCAATACCTGTGAAAAACGAAGATGTAGTTTCTATACTGGTTTTAGTATCGATCAGTATCTGATTTTCGATATTTTGGCAATATTCTCTTAAACATGTAGTGAGTCTAACATCTTGTGTTTCTGTGTTTGAACAGGCCCCAAGTCCAGACCTGCAGCTCAAACATGTAGATACAATGGTGAGTCTCATTCATTTATATTCACTGTTTTTACTTGAAGTTGCACAACGTTACTTTCTGGTTGGGGGTCCATCACCTGCTTGTTTCTTGCTTGGATATGTCATTGATCTACCTGGAATGTTCCGCAGTATAACATTAAACAGCTCTACTTTACATTTATCCAATAACAGGTGGTTTTACAGCTCAAAAAGACTTCGAAAAACATACATTGTGACTGTGAGCGGGGTCACCTCTCCGCAGATCTGACCTGTAACGTTGTCTGGTTTGGTCTCCATGAAGGTAGAAAGGTTTAATACCATACCGTGGAACATTCCAGACAAAGCAACAACACCTCCATAGAGAAAAGCGTTTGAAGGACTCTCTACCAGAAAACTTACACAATGCACCTTAGGAGTTCCGTATTATACAAAATGGGTTCTTGTGGGCATTTTTACCTCCTCAAAAACACACCTGGAGTTGTGTTTTGTTTCATTCACACATTATTATTCGTCTGTCCACATCTCCAAAGCTCAAAATGCTCCGTTTCACCTTGTGATGTCATGATATTTCAAAAGAGATTGGCAATTCCAGAGCTGAAATCAACCAAATGATTCTACTGTAGTGAAGGTGTATGGAGTTTCAAAACACAGTGGAGCACTTCCTGTATTACCACATGACATCACAAGTTGGAACTGAGGTTTTAGGTTTGAGAGAAGAACTATAAAGTCTAAACGTGCAGGGTTTGAACAGAGATCAGAAAACAGCGTCAAATGGGCCCTTTAAAAAAAAAAAAAAAAAGTTTTGGAAGTATAAATATTCCAGACGTTTTGAATTAGAATATTTCATGAATGGAATAAACTGAATAAAAAAGAGCTGAAATGGAAATAATTGGGGGAAAAAAATTGGCAAAAAAAAAAATCAAGTTGAGAAATTCAAATTGAAAACATTCAGGTCAAAGTTCACTACACATTCTGTTACTATGGGAACTTGCTAACACCAGGGGGCGACATGCTCATAGAGGCCAAAAAGCAGAAGAGATCTGTTTATCATATCATGTATCAAAAAACAAACAAACAAAAAACACTATTATGTTTATTATTTGTCTCCAAAACCAAAATGAAAAAAAAAAAAAAAAAAAAAAAAGATAACGATTAGATTTTTTTCAGATTCCGATCTTACGTTTAAATGATGGAAAAAAAACAGAAAAAAAAAAAAAAAAAAAAAAAAAAAAAAACAGGACTGAACCAGGACTGAACCAGGACTTGAGACCTGAATGTTTTTGATCAGAATTTTTCAACTGGATTTTTTTTTTTTTTTAAATCTGAATTTGGCAACTTGAGTTTTCTTTTTTTTTTTTTCCTGATTTTCACAACTTGAATTTCTCAACTTGATTTTTTTCATCTGGATTTCGCAATTTGATTTTTTTTTTAAATGTATTTATTTATTTAAATATTAATTTCTCAACTTGAATTTCTCAACTTTAAATCTGAATTTGGCAACTTGAGTTTTTGTTTTTTTTTGGTTTGTTTTTTCCCCCAATCTGAATATTACAACTTTTTTTTTTTTTTTTTTTCAGAATTTTTCAACTTGACTTTTTCTTTTTCTTTTTTTTTTTTTTTTTTTATTTGGTAACTTTATTTGTTTATTTAGTTATTTAAATCTGAATTTCTCAAATTGATTTATTTTTATTTTTTTATCTGAATTTGGGAACCTTGATGTTTTTTATTATTATTATTATTATTTAATCTGAATTTCTCTATTTGAATTTCTCTACTTAAATTTTATCAGTCTGAATTAAAGATGCTGAAAAGTAACATATTTCCCACCTATCACATGTTAATGCTTTTTTCCCCAAGTTATTTCCATTTCAACATTTTTAATTCATCATGAAATGTTCTAATTCAAAACTTCTGGCACATCATTACTTCCATAAAAAGTCATGTTTATGTGTTATTTTTTAAAATTTTGAGCATGTCCCAATCAGGAGCAGACGACCGTTTTGTACCCAGCATTTATAACGCCTCCTCTGAGCTCCAAACCCACCACACCTCTTTCGCTGAAGCTCACGAAACTAAACAACTCTTTCGAAAAACTCTGGGACAATTTCCTGTATTGTATTTGTCGTCTGGTGTGTGAAAAAAAGCAACATTGAGTAACTTTAGTTTGCGAAACCACCCAGTGTCCGGTAACCACGGTAACCACAGCAACCACAGGACCCAAATACGAGCTCGATTTGAGAAAGAATTCGGAGCGCGTGCTGATTTTGGCTTGGTTTTGTTTTGGGACGCTTTGAAAACACACCACGCCTCGGCTTCATATAGACTCATTCAGAAACATAAGCAACATTCCTCAGGACAAAACTGTTTTTTTTTTTAAACTATTTTTAATGTGAGGGTGGGAATTAAAGGAGCACTGTGTAACTTGTTTGTACCTCTGTGTACTGCCTGCAGATAATTATAAAGCGTTTTAGTGTCTGATAATCAGGAAGTGTGTGGTAGCATGCTAGTTGTTGGTAGCTATAGTCTAGGAGAGTTGTGAAAAGTGACTATAAAATTATTGCGGTGAAAAAGTAGGGATCATTTTCGACTACTGCAAAAACTAGTTCTGATTTTCACGTTTTTAAGACTACTATACTACTACTACTGCTACTACTACTACTACTAGAGGTATGACTACGACTACCAGTACCACTACTACTTCTACTACTACACTTACTACAACTATTACTGCTACTACTGCTGAATACTGCTACTATGACTACTACTACTACTGCTGATGTTACGATTACTACTAATATTGCTACTACTACCTCTACTGCTACTAGAAGTATGACTACAACTACAACTACCAGAACCACTACTACTTCTACTACTACAGCTACTACAACTATTACTGCTACTACTGCTGCTGCTACTATGATTACTACTACTACTACTGATGCTATGACTTTTACTGCTACTGCTACTACTACTACTACTACTGCTGAATGCTACTATGACTACGAATACTACTTCTACTACTGATGCTACTACTATTATTAATACTGCTACTACAGTACTACTACTACTACTGCTACTACTACGAGCAGTACGATTACAACTACCAGTACCACTACTACTTCCACTAATACGGGTACTATAACTATACTGCTACTATTGCTGAATACTGGTACTATGACTACTAGTACTACTGATGCTATGACTTTTACTAATACTGCTACTACTACCACTACTACTACTGCTACTCCTACTAGCAGTAAAACTACAACTGCCAGAACCACTACTACTACTACTTCTACTACTACAGCTACTACAACTGCTGCTGCTACTACTACTAGTACTGCTACTATGACTACTACTTCTACTACTACTATAACTACTACAACTACTACAACCACTGCTACTACTGCTGTTCTTCTTCTACTACTAGTAAAACTACTACTAGTACTAGTACTGCTACTACTACTACTACTACTGCTACTCCTACAAGCAGTACGACTACAACTACCAGTACCACTACTACTTCCACTAATACGGTTACTATAACTATACTGCTACTATTGCTGAATACTGGTACTATGACTACTAGTACTACTGATGCTATGACTTTTACTAATACTGCTACTACTACCACTACTACTACTGCTACTCCTACTAGCAGTACAACTACAACTGCCAGAACCACTACTACTACTACTTCTACTACTACAGCTACTACAACTGCTGCTGCTACTACTACTACTAGTACTGCTACTATGACTACTACTTCTACTTCTACTTCTACTACTACTATAACTACTACAACTACTACAACCACTGCTACTACTGCTGTTCTTCTTCTTCTACTACTAGTAAAACTACTACTAGTACTAGTACTGCTACTACTACTACTACTACTACTACTACTACTACTACATAAATAAATTAATTTGAATAAAACAAAACACAACTCCAAGTTTTTGAGTAGGTAACAACATTATAACATGGATTAAATGTGCACTATGTAACTTTTCGGTTGCGGGTCCGTCACCTTCTTGTTTCTATGGAGATGTCACTGCTCTATGTAGAATGTTCCACAGTGTGACATTAAACAGCTCTACTTTACATTTATTCAATTACAAGTGCTTTTATAGCCCAAAAATACTTCGAAAAACAGACATTGTGACTGTAAACGGGGTTGCTTCTCCACAGATCTGACTTGTAACTTGGTCTGGTTTGGTCTCCACGGAGATAGAAAGGTTTAAAGCCATACTGCGGAACATTCTAGACAAAGCAAGAACGTCTCAGTGGACGTTTAAAGCTCACAATAGTCCCATTTTGTGTAACATTTATGGCCTTTAAACTACATGAAACTAAATTTATTCATAATTTAAAACAAAAATATCACATCTGTCAAAGTGGAAAAGTCCTCAAAATGTCGCCCGTGACAGGAAGCTGAACCCAGAATAGTTTTGAAAGCGGAGGAGCGTGCCATGCTACGCCCTCCGCTACAGTAATTTCATTCACTATTATTTGATTACTAAAAATATTCTATTGCAAAACACTGCGAGCTTGTCCTTAAATGTACCTTGTGTTTCTTTAGCTCAGCTCTGAAACATTTCCAAGTGAAATTAAATCCAAAATATATCTTTGTAACCCACCGGTGTCCAAAAACTGCACTGCAATTACTATTCTAAACCGTCCTATACAACAGTTACTCCAGTGTCCCAATGTTAAACACACATCGTTTCAAAACCAAGACTAATCCCGCTCTAAAGATCCACCTCGGAACTTTACTTCTGGAGATTCGGACGCAGTAAGGTTGTCAAGTGTGATGGTACTTCCTGGTCCAAGGCACGACGGCTCATTGAAAATATGAGACGTGTTTTTTGTTTGTTTGTTTTTTTGTTTTCTTTCATTAAAGTTACACAAAATTGACTCTTGTGAGCTTTAAGTCTTAGTTAGAAGTTATTACCTCCTCGAAAACAGAGCTGGAGTTGTGTTTTATTTCATTCACACATGTTAAACACACATCGTTTCAAA